TTTTTTTTTTTTTTTTTTAAGTGACATCTCTTAACTCTTGGGAGACCGGGGCTCGGATTTCTGCCCCCCGCAAACTCTGTAAACAGGTTGCACATCAAACCCACAGAACCGGAGCTTATGTTTCAATTGTCTACGCAGAAAGCACACTTTTGGACATCTTGTGCCATTCTGACTCTGCTAAACTGAGAAAGGGGAGAGAGAGCCTCCTGGATCTGTTTCTGGCCACCCTGGGCTGCTCATTTCAACCTTCACTGGTCAGCTGTGCCCAACGCTAACAGATAAGCTCCCAAGCAAATCCATTCTGGGCCCTGACATTTATTCAGCATCTTTTACTCTCTTCTATTCATTAAGCATGGGCGGTTGCCACGGCAACCATTAACTGCACCTGCCATCCAGGAATAGTTCTGGTGTTTTGAGCAAACACCACATTGGGATTTAGGGCTGCAAGGTAAAGAGCCTGTAACCTGTGCGGACGTCGTGGTTTCTCCCCTGAATCTGAGCTGCCCTTCAGGACTTTTGCCTGGACTCTGAGCCTGGGGCAGGAGAAAGAAGGCAGAGTGTCCTCTTCTAGATTCCCCATTCTGCTCACTCACCCACCAGAGTCTTTTCGAGTCGCAATATGATGGGGGTGTGTCAGGGGTGTCTCTGGGTGAGACACGTGTAAGGGCAGGATTGTGTACGTGATGGGGCAGGGATGAGGGGGCAGGGGGCCATCTGAGGTTGCATCCGAGGTGGAAGCAAATATATTTTGGAAAAGCAGAAAATGTAAAGGGGTCTGTGGTACCCACGTGTGGATATGACTATATGTGCATGTGCTGGTGAGGGTGTGTTTTCTTCTGTGCCATGTGTGTGCACCTGTGTTGCACTTGGAATGAAACCCTACACTTAGAGTAAAACCCATTTGACATTTTTTTTGTGAGGAAGATTAGCTCTGAGCTAACATCCGATGCCAATCCTTCTCTTTTTGCTGAGGAAGATCAGCCCTGCACTAACATCCGTGCCCTTCTTCCTCTACTTTATATGGGACGCCGCCACAGCATGGCTTAACAAGCGGTGCGTCGGTGCGCGCCCTGGATCCGAACCTGCAAACCCCGGGCCACCAAAGCGGAGCGTGCACACTTAACCGCTATGCCACTGGGCCGGCCCCAAAACCCATTTGACTTTTCCTCATCTCTCCTGTCCCACCTTGTCCTACTCATGCTCCTCCCTCTCACTATAGATCAGCCTTTCAAACTGTAATATGTATGTGAATAGCTTGGGCACCTAGTGAAGATGCAGGTTCTGAACGCATAAGCCTGGGGAAGAGCCAGCCTGAGATTCTGCCCCTTCTGGGATTTCTAACCTGCTCCTCGGTGGTGCTGATGCTGCCAGTCCGTGGACCACGCTTTGAGTAGCCAGGCCTGGCCCATGGGTTCTCAGTCCTGGCTCCAGAAACTACAGAAGCTCTGAGACACTCCAGAAACTCTTAAATAGCATTGGTGCCTGGACCCCACCACAGACCAACAAATCAGAATTTCTGGATGTCGGACCCATCTTTTTTAGAAGCTTCTCCAGGTGATTCTAACGTTCAGGGGTTGAGAACCACAGCTCTCGCCACACTCCTCCTCCTGTTCCTCTAACACACATTGTATGGCTGTGAGGCCTTCAGGTTTGCTGTTCCTCCCCACCTGGACCGCTCTCCCCCTCACAAGTTGGCTCCTTCTTAGCATTTAAATGTCCCCCTGCCTCGAACACCTCCGGTCATTTCCTTCACAGAGCTTGCGAGATTCGTGAGTGTGCTAATTATCTTGTTTACATTTACTGCATTGTTTATTTTCTGACTTCTTCACTAGAATACAAGCACCCCTGTATCTCCAACATCTTGCACAAGGCCTGGTACATAATAGGTGATTCATAAGTATTTATCAAATGCCGGTCCATTGTGTGTTACATCTGAGGGAACCTTAGACAAGGTGGCTTCCCGTTGCACAATGACAAAAGTCCGTAACCTGGCCTACGCAGTCCTGTGTGGTCTGGCCCCCACTCATCTCCAGATTCTTCTCTCCACGCTCCTCTTGCATAGACTTTGTTTTCTTCACCTGCCTCAGGGCCTTTGCACCTACATTCTCTCTACCTGTTCTCTATCCATTCTCCATTTGATTAATTCCTCCTTGTCCTTAAGATCTGACCATCAACATGTCCTCAGGCTGATGCCATCTAGTTATTTGCTCTCACAGCACCTCATGCTTTTCCTTCGGGGGACATATTATAAATAAATAATTATGAGTTTAACTGTGTGTCTGTTTATTCTACATTACTATAAATTCTAAGAGCGCATCTCTGTCTTGTTTACTGCTATCTTCACAGTGCCTGGCACATAGTAGGTCATTAAATAAACAAATAAGTAAACGAAGGGCTGAGTATTGAGTATTTTCTCCAAGTCTGGATTCTTCTGTAAGCTTCTTGTGTTGGCATCTCTTCACTGCCTGAGACCCTCCTTTCATTCCAGAGCTGTCTGGAGCCTGGGCCCTTAGCTCGCTGCCTTCTCGTCCCTCTCCCAGGGCTGTGGCATTTTTGCTTGAGGTCTCCGAGCCCAGCCCCCTCCTTGGAGATGTGCATCCCTCCTGAGGAGGCTGCTCTGGCCCACAGCACGCTCACCACCCCCCCTTCAGCTGGCAGTGCTGGCCCCTGGGGGTGGCCAGCGGCCTCCGGCCTGGAGGCTACGGTCAGGTGCTGTTAACTAGGCTGGCTCAGGATCAGGGGCAGTGGGGCGAGATCACAGCGTGCCCCTCTCTGATGGTCAGGGAGGCTGAGGTCACTGGTCAGCACCAGGACTTTGGAGAGGACATCTGTTCCAGCTGCTTGAGGGGTAGCCACTCTCCCATCTTCTGATAACGGCCCCGATTCCACTGTAGGGAACCACTTCTCCCCTACTTCAGCCTGTGTGTGTGTCGGGGGTGACCCCACTGTCAGCTTAGGGGTGGGCGTGTGATTCACTCCTGACCAGCCAGAATTCCAAATTGGCCTGGCTACTGTGGTTGGCTAAAGCGGGGGGCACATGACCAGATTTGGCCAATCGACCCATTTCACCTCCCTGACCAGAGTGAGTGGTTCAGGGGTGGGCAAATGACAAAGTGGTCCAGTGAGGATAGTCCTGGAGCCTTGGCTAGAAAGGACTGTTGAGAAAGAAGAATGTTCTTTCCCATTGGGTTGCTAAGGTAGTGAGCTGGAGCTGGAGCCGCCAAGGGCCCCTTTTGGAGAGAGCAAGCCCGAGGGCAAAGGCAAGACAGAGAACACAGAGCTGAGAGGTGTTGGAATCTCCATGAGACCATGTGAGCCCCTGGATCCAGCCATGCCTGAATTAGGTAAACCCTTGGATATTTCAGTTACATAAGCCAACAGCCCCTCTGGCTGCTTATGGTTATTTGAGCTGGGTTTCTGTCATTTACACCTGAGAGTCTTCACAAATATAGGGTCACTTTCTTAGAACAGTAGCATCTGCTATTTATTCAATGCTGTGTAATAATTAATAGTAATGATAATAATAATAATAATAAATCTTGTTATGTGCCAAGACCAGTTCTAAGCACTTTACGATCTAACCCTGTGAGATAGGTACTATGATTGTATACTCATTTTACTGATGAGGAAATGAGTCATAGAGAAATAAGTAACTTGCCCAAGATTACACATCCACTCTGTGGCAGACTCAGGATTCAAACCCAGCATCTGGTTCCAGAGTCCATGCATTTACCACTATCCTACGCTGCCCCTCTCTTTCCTATGCTTGCTGTGCTAAGTGTTTCATACTCATTGTCCTGTTTCATCCCCTCACCACACCGCTTGAAATAGATCCACTCTTGTTATGACCATATTACAAATATGTAAATTGAAGCTCAGAGAGGTTAAGTATCTTACCCAATTCACACAGCTTGTGAGTGGCAGATTCAGAATTTAAACGCAGGACCTTCTGACTCTAAAATCTGAATGTGCTCCCTGGTGGCTAACCAAGCAGGGATTCGGTAAGCAGCCCCTTCCTAGGCTCTCACAGACCCTAATTCCTCCACGGCTTTCTCTGGGTGGGAGAGTTCTCAACTATGCCACAGTCTCAGCCTGTGCCCAACTTGGATCCTTTTCTGTCACCAAGCGTGAGTTTCACCCTTAGGAATCCAGAGCGTCTGTACTTTTCACTCGGCAAATATTTCTTGCGTACGTGAATGAGGTGCCTCCTGCCAAAAGGACCAGATGACAGTAAGCAGTTACTGAATTTCAGCAGTTACTGACATGTCCAGGGGATGAGGCTGATTCAGGGATGGCTGGATCCAGGGTCTCAGAGGAGGTCATCAGGACTTGCTCTCTCATCACACCTCTGTGGTTTCAACTTCCAGCAATCATCTGAAAAGCTACCCACTGAAGAGAACTGGGGGACCCCAGTTCTCTCCAAAACAGACGTGTCTCCCGGTCCCAGCTTTGTCCCGAGCCCACACTGCGAACCCAGGCACCTCACATAACCCACCCTGCTCTCGGTGTCCACGTTTGTGAAATGAGGATCACCAGTGCTCCCTTTCCTACCTCGTGGGCTTGCTGTGAGAATCAGACGAGGTGATGGGGCGGGTCGCTCGTAAACTGAATCACCGGCCCACAGTGCAGGAACGGTGCTGAGCCTCATCCCCAGGATCAGAGCTCGCTCGCGTGTCTGAGGCTTATGCATCCCTGGGGTCCAGCAGCTGGGACTCAGGAAGGGAGCGCCCCGGCTGCTGAGTGCACTGGGTCTCAAGTGTGTGGAGTAAAGTGGGGTAAAGATATGTGGCAGGTGACTATTCTGATATACTAATTGATGTCCCCCCAACCCTTATTCCCATCATTCTTTCTTTAGCCCCGGGGAATGAGACTATTCCAACAGATGCCAGCCTGGGTACAAGATGACCCAGACCACATGCACCCACCCCTCCTGTCCTCGGAGCTTATATGCCCATCAGGGACAGGGATTGGCTGAGATCAAATTCCTGCCCCCTGCCCCAGAGGAGACAGGGCTCATGACAAAAGGTCATTCATTCACCTCACTCAGTAAATAGCTAGTAGCCACCTACTAGGTTCCAGGCACCATTCTAGACACTGGGGCCACTGTCGCGTGACAGAGAGCACCCTGGGGCCCTTCTGGGGGGTGGGGGAGGACAACTGAACAGATGACTTCAGACGGGGATTAGAGCTATGAAGAATTTAAAGCAGGAGGAGGGGCTTGGGAGTAACCGAGGGTGGCGACCCAGGAGGGTGTCTCTGAGGGAGACATGTGGCTTGAGGGCTGAGGGGAGAAGGAACCAGCCCCATTCTAAACCAGGGGCATGTGCACTCGGGCAGCGGCAAGAGGAAGCGCTGGGCCCTATGGGGGAAGAGCTGGGTGTCGAGGGACAGAAAGGAGCCAGCAGAGAAGGGGAAAGGAGAGGGGGAAGGAGGTGAAGGCTGAGAGGAAGAGTGAGGCCACGGGAGGGGGAGCTTGTGGGTCATGGCATGGCCCTGAGGTCTTATTCTAAGGACGATGGGAGCTTGGGGAGGGAGGATAAGCAGGAGAATAAAATGACCAGATATACAGTTTTAAAACGACCCCACTGGCTGCCAGGTGGAGAATGGTCTCGTGGGAGGGGTGGAGGGAGCGGGGTGGTGGGGAGGCACGTGGGAAAACAGGGGCAGCCAGGGCGGTGCCTCCTTGGGTGAGAGCAATCCACGGTGGTGGCCTGGGCTGAACAGGCAGCTGGGGAGGCGGGAGAAGCATTTGGCTAATTCGGTATTTTGGAGGCAGAGCCAACAAGACTTGCTGTATTGGTTGTGGGGGAAAAGAGGCATCAAAGGGGGTTAAGTTATTGTCCTGTGCAACTTGGGTAAATGGTGAAATAGGAAATGAGATGGGAAAACTGGGCAAGGAGCAGGTTTAGGAAGGAAATTAAGAAACTAAGTTCACCTGCAGAAGAATACAATTGCGTTCAAGCACACTTGAGTCTGTGGGCTGAGATCTTATCCTTTAGAAGTATAAGCAAAGAGGTTAGAATCCCAGCCCCACGACTTCCTGTGTGACCTTGGGTGGATTACTTTGCCTGAACTTCAATTTCCCGTAAACCAGGACACTAGCATCTTTCTAAAAGGCTTTGTTGTGGTTGTTCATCTCTTTGAGAATTCAATAAAATAATGTGTATCAAGCATCTAGGGAGGCGCCTGACACATACTGGATGCTAAATGAAAGTTTTTGTTTTCTTCCCTCTGCCCCTTCCAGGCAAAGGCAAGGTCTCCCTTTGTGGACTGATACTGATCAATAACAGCCTGTGAAGATGAGGGTCTTGACTTACTGAGAGCTGCCGGGATCCACACTCAGGAGCGAGCGTTTTATCTAAACAGGGAGTCAGACCCACCCGGAATTGTATCCGGGCTCTGCCACTTCCTAGCTGTTCATCCTTGGGCGAGTTATTCCACTTCTCTGAGCTTTGGTTTCCTTAGCTTAAAATGAGTATAATGATGCCATCCCCAGGGGGCTGCTATGAGTATTAAAGGCACAATACAGCAATCAAAAAGTTTGGAAACATCTTAGATGACTCTCATTAGGGGAAGGGTTGGATTCATTGAGGTATATCCATACTATGGACTATCTGTCAGGAAGCCATCGTTCTGACTGTATGGGTGACCAGAAAAGATGTCCATAATGAGTATATTTTTTTAAAGTTTCAGTTCAATATGGAAGGCCTGGTCTCATTTTTGTAAGGCTAAAATTATGTGTGAGAGGATTTTAAGGCAGTTTATGTGAATGGTAGCCCTAGGAGTTGAGCAGTGCACCACCTAATCAACCGTATATAGGTTATTTTGTGGATTGACAGCTAAATAGGTAGATATCGATTAAGATATAGAATTGTCATGGATATAGATCTGGACATAGATGTGTCTCAATAAACATAGGAAAAGATTGAGAAGGTTATTTTAACAGTGGTACCTCTGTGGGGTGGGGAGGGGATAAAATTTGAGTGGCAGAATAAGGAGACAATTTTTGCCTCCTACTCTTTATTTTTTAAAGTGGATTATGAGTGAGTTTTACCTTTTTCACTGCATTTTCCTATATTTTTCAAATGTAAAAATCTCTAAAAAACAGAGGTAAATATGTAAGAGAATGTTTAGCTGATCACTGCCTGGCATGAGGTTGGTGTATTCAATAAAAACGGCAACTAAAGAGAAAAAAGAGGGAGTCATGAGTATGTTTGATGGGAGCGGGCAGGTTAAAAGGCTGAAGGAAACCATGGTCGTGAAGCTCACAGCTGATCTTGCCAGTTTCTGGCGTGTACGCAAGGGTGAGCAGGGTTCCTCTGAGGTGCTAATGAGATCACAGAGCTGTTCGTAGGTGCTGGCTGGGCTGTGTTTCTCTCGGGCATCTGGAGACGGTGTCTCCTCTTTCTCACCTAACTGAGGAATGACGCTGATGTGAGAGTTTCAATGCAAGTAGGAGAGTGGGGGTCATCATCAGGGCTTGGGGTGGGCATGCGGGTGGCTACATTTGTGTTCCAGGCCATTCCACTCTCCTCCTCCAGCTTGTCTGGCTTCCAATTCAGCTTCCACCATTGTACTAGTTATGTAACCATGGCAAGTGAATGAGCCACTTGAGGCCTCAGTTTCCTCATCTGGAAAATGGGTATAATCATAGTACTTAACTCTCAGGGTTGTCATGAGGATTAAATGAGATCCAATAGGTGAAGCCTGTAGCATGGTGAAATCCTCATTAACTCCCAGCTAGGATTCGGATAAATATCCTTTCTAAGGTCCAGAATCCTTACCCCAAATTCTGAAATCCAAAAAGCTCTGAAAAAAGAAAGGTCCCTTGTTATTCATGTGGGAGAAAAATTGTGAGGTCATCACATGGACGCCTTTGATGACAAAACCTGACCTGAGCCAACCTGAGAGAGCATCACGGGCTTTATTGACCTCACCTGTTGCGACTATGTCAAAGTTTTGCTGCAGAGCGACGAATGACTCTGACTGCAGGTTCTGCCCCAGAGATGTGAAGCCATCTATGGTCCATGTACCCTAGTGCCTTCCTCACGTCCTAAACATTCTATTTCTGCAACACGTCTGAGTACGAGACCGTAGGTACAGCCACAGCAAACCACGTGTTCCCCATCTTTCTGCCTTTCTCCATATATTTATATGACATGTTTTCATATTTACTTGTATTTATTTCTCTCTAAATCAACTTACTTTTTTTTTAACTGAAATTTATTTTAAAATGAGACTTTATAACCTGACTGTAAGTGGAAAGCTAGTATTCTGGCCATAAATAGGAGGCCAGTGCAAAAATAAATACAATGAAAACAAAATGATGTTATTAAATTTCAGCTGGATGCCGTGAATTGAAAAGCAAATAGCTTTCTCGCCGTGTAGTGGGGTGTTATTTAACGCCACGTCTGGATACCAGGCGTCAGCCATGGTAGGTGCCATGTGGAGCTGGGGGGCAGGGGAGCCTCCTGCTGATGGATTGTCTTGTAGCCGCTTCCCCACCCCCTTGCTAGAAGGAAGGGGCTGGGTAACCCTTCTTCCATCCAGGGTTGTGTGGCACAGATTTTCCATGCTTCAAGGGGCAGCATTAACAGCTGCCCTTCATGTGATGAAAGCAGCCAGAATTTGCCCAAAGCCACCCTGCCCCCACCTGTAACAGAAAATTTCCTCCTGATCTGTATGGCTGTTGGGCCTGGGTTGCTGGAGACTTTGCCTTGAAGGCGCTGTCATATAATAACCAGGGGGCAGTGAGCCTCGAAGCTGGTTTTGGCATGGGTCAGGGTTAGGCAGAAAGTTTGGGAGTCTGATCATTCATTCCTTCCAAAAAGGATCTACAGAGTGCCTACAATGTGCTAAGCATCATGCCCGGCTCCAGGGATGCAGAGAAACAGATGAACAAAATCCCCGCCTTTGTGGACTTGGGGAGAGAGAGAAGGAACAAGCTCATTACTGCGTGGGGGATGTGCTATGAAGGAAATAAACAAGGTGTCATGACAGCCAGTCGCGGTGGGAAATTAGGGAAGCCTCTCCAAGGAGCATCTGAGCTGAGGCTGGATGCTGAACATGAGCCAGCCACGCTAAGAACAAGAGGGAGAGCATCCTGGCAGGGTGACCAACAGGTGCAAAGGCCCAGAGGCTGGAATCCTCGTGGACAGCGCTTCTCAACTTCAGGGGGTGCAGAATTCCCTGGAAGGCTTGTTAAAATACAGATTCCCCAGAGAATCTGATTCAGCAGGTCTGTGGTGGGGCCTGAGGTTCTGCATCTCTAATAAGCTCCCAGAAGACGCTGATACTGCTGGTCCAGGGTCCTTCTATTCTGCACACCCCACCCCATCCCATCCTGCTTACAATGCTCCTTGAGGGAAGCTCTTCACCTTCTTCCAGCCACTGGTGCCCTCTACACACAGATTCCCCTGCCTGGGTGGTGGGGGCGTGCAGTCTCTCCCGTCTTCCAAACCTGCTAAGACTCCAAATGCCGAGATGCCAAAGCCAGGCTGTGGCCTCTCCAGACGTCACTTGGCTGGAGCCACCACATGGCTGAGCAGAAACAAGGAGACTCGTTCCCCCCGGGGCTGTGGCTCTGGGCTCGAGGTAGCCCTGCCTGGGCCCCAGCGCTCACCCAACCCTTGTGAACAGTGGCTGCTCCACGTTCTGCCTGTGCTCCCTGGAGCAGGGTGAGGAGCTCACCCATCCCCTCTGCTCTAGCCACCTCGCCTCCCGTCGTCCGAGTCCCCTGTGACGCACCAGTGCAGCCCAGCGGCCTCAGAGAGAGCCGGCCTGGCAGGATGACTCGGCGGTTAAGAGCTCAGACTCAGGGTCAGCCAACGCCGAGTTCAAATCTGCCTCTGCCCCTTCTTGCCTGTGCAACCTTGTTCAAATTTCTCAACATCTCTAAGTTTCAGTTTCCTCCATCAGAAAGTTGGAATGGCCAATGAAATGAGATAATATAAATAAAGCACTTAGCATGTCCCTGGGACATAGGCTATGTGGGCAGTGATGATGGTGATGG